TTCTTTTGTGTCGTTTTAGTTGGTTTAACTCATGTTGGTTTGGTTTCAGGCATATTGCTTTTTGCTAGGAAATTGTCCATTTCTTCCAGATTCTCAAACTTATTATCATAAAGATTTGAGAAATATTCCCTTATAATGTTCTGAATCTTGGTGGTTTCTGTGGTGATGCTTTCATTCTCATCTCTGAGTTTGTTTATTTGGGTGTGTTCTTTTTCTGATAAGATTTCTCAGGGTCTGTCAATTTTCTTTAACTTTTTCAAGGAACCAACTCATTGTTTTGTTGATTCAATGTTTTTTTGGATTCTAATTAGTTTAATTTGATTTAATTTTAATTATTTTTTCCTGTCTACTGGATTGAGGTTTATCTTGTTGTTCTTTTTCAAAGAAGGTCAGATGTCTCATTAAATTATTGGTTTCAGATGTCTCCAATTTGTTGATGTAGGAAATCAGAGCTGTAAACTTGCCTATGAGTACTGCTTTTGCTCTGTCCAGAGGAACTGGTAATTTGTGTGATCAATTTTGTTGAACATCATGAACATTTGAATTTCCTTTCTAATCTCTTCCATGATCCACTGGTGATTCAACAGTGTGTTGTTCAGCCTCCATGTGTTACAGGACCTTCTTTGGTGGCTTTTGGTGTTGAGTTGTAATTTTATTCCCTTGTCTGAGAGCATGCAGGGCATAACTTCAATGTTTCTGAATTTGGACCAGTTTGCTTTGTGACCTAAAATGTGGTGTATTTTGGAAAATGTTCTGTGTGCTGCTGAGAAGAATGTATAATCTGATGCTGCAGGTTGAAATGAATATATATATATATAGATATCTGTTAAATCTAGTTGATCTATGCAGCTGTTTAGATTTGTGGTTTCTATTTTGAGTTTTTGCTGAGTTGTTCTAACTAGTGAGGATAGTGGTGTGTTAAAGACTGCAATACTTAATGCCTTTGGATCTAGGTGAGATTTGAGGGAAAGTAGTGTTTCTTGGATAAATTAGGGTGTTCTGTTGTTTGGTGAATAGATATTTAGAATTGTGATATCCTCCTGAAGGAGAGATCCCTTAATTAGTATGTAGTGATCTATTTTTTCTCTTCTCACTAATTTTAATTTGAAGCCAATTTTATGTGATATTAAGATTGCAACTCCCACATGTTTATGGGGGCCTTTGCTTGGTAGATTTTATTCCAGCCTTTCACTTTCATAATAAGTTTGTTTTAATTGGGAAGGTTTGAAACCTGAAAGCAGTATATAGAAGGATTTTGCTTTTTAATCCAAATAGGCAGTCTATGCTGCTTAATTGTAGAGTTAAGTCCATTACTGTTGAGAGTTAGGACTGAGAGGTGTTTGGTAGTTCTGCCATGTTATCTACCTTCTTAGGTGCTGCAACAACTTGGTTCTTCACATGGTTCTTGGATTCTCAGTTTGGGTGCAGTTTCTTGGCCTTTATTGTGGTCTTGTTGGTTTTCTATGTGTAGAACATCTTTAAGTATCTTTTGTAGGGCTGGTTTGGTGGGGATCTATTGTTTGAGTTTTTCTTTGCTATGGAAGGTTTTCATTTGACTTTCATTATGAAGGAGAGTTTAGCTGGGTACAGTATTCTTGGTTGATAGCTGTTTGTCTCTAAGGTGTGGTATACTTCATTCTAGCCTCTTCTTGCTTTAATTGTCTCTGCTGAGAAATCTGAGGTGCTTCTAATTGGTTTCCCTTTATACGTGATTGATCTTTTCTCCCTGACAGCTTTAAGAATCCTTTCCTTGAGCTGAATTGATCCTGTGCAGATTATAATGTGATGGTGGGATGTCCTGTTCAGGTCTGGTGTATTTGGGGTTCTAAAAGCTTCTTGTATCTGAACAGGCCTATCTTTTTGCAAGTTTGGGAAGTTCACTGATGGCATCCTGTTAAATAAATTTACTAGACCATTAACTTCTGCCTCTCGTTGCTCCTCTACATCTATTATTCTCAGATTAAGACTTCTGATGGTGCCTACCAAATATTGAATCAATCTATCACATTTCTTGGATTTGTCTAGGATAATTGTATGCCCTCTCTATAATATATTGGCTGTCTCCAATCTCTGAGATTCCATCTTCTGCATGGTCTAACCTACTGTCTAGACTATCTACTTTGTTTTTTTATTTCCTTTCCTTCTAATTGTTTCGCTTTGATGGCTTCAAATTCCTTTTTGGAGGTTTGTTTTAGATATTGTATGAACTTCTTTACTTCCTTAATTTGGTGTTCAGTGTTTATTCTCAAATCACTTAGTTGATTGGTTATGGTTTCCTTGGACTCCCATTCCTTCTGTCGGGCTACATTTAGCATTCCCTTTGTGGTCGGTCTGATTTTCTTCAGCTGTCTGTTTATGGATTCCATGTATACATCTATTGATCTTTGTCTATTCCCATCCTGCTAACACAATTCCTGTCTTACTCTTTGATTAGCTTCCTCATGCTCATACAATTCGTGTATTTTTCTTTGATTGTTCTCAGCCTGCTCATGCAATTCCTGTCTTTCTCTTTGGTTGTTCTCAGCCTGCCATGCAATTCCTGTAGTAATCTTTGATTACCTTCCTCATGCTCATGAGATTCCTATATTAATATTTTGTTAACCTTATCATGCTCGGGAAGTTCCCATATTAATCTTTGGTTGCCCTCACCTTGCTTCCTATAATGGTCACACTGAATCCTCTACACATTTTCATACCTTTCATTCACCATGTTTACCGGTAGTGTTTGTAGAGCTTTTTGGGAACTCTCTTCTGGATTTTTCATTAAATGTTTTGTCACCTCATTATCATGAGTGGGAGTTGAGATACCCAGACTAGCCATTTTTCTTGTCTTTCTCCAGCTTGTTCTGTGCATTTGGTAAGAAAGTAATATCAATTTTGAGCTAGAACACTATTTTAAGGCAAACATCAACCAGAGTCCTGTAGTTACACATTAAAATGGCTGCAGATACAATCTAGTTCAACAGATACAATCTATTCATCATCAAACAACAATGGATTAATGGGGCTAAGGACATCAAAGAAGGATTCAGATGATCAGACCTAAATAGGTTTAGGGAGAATCGTGAGGAAAAATAGGATTAGAGGAATGTGTTAAGGTAAAAGGAAAGAGTGAATTTAACCAAATACTAATCTCAGAGAGAGAATGGATAGGACTTAATGAAAGGAGAGAGATAAAAAAAAAACAAGAAATAAGAAAAACAAAAATTTAAACTTAAAAACTGACTTACTTACAATTATGGAACAATGAAGAAATGTTATTGGTGAAGAAAGGGATAGGATGAGATAAGGAGAGAGATAAGAAAGAAAAACAAAAAAATAAAAAAAATTTAAAAATGGAATACTTAAAAATTATATAATTATAAAGAAATAATACTAGTATTAGAGAAGTTAAGCCTAAGAGGTTGTGAATTAAGTAATAAATTCCTGGATTAAATATGTACACAATGAGAGATAAGGTCTAAGAATCCATGACAGGTATATATTTGGGGATCAGCAGAAGAGCAATTAATAACTCAAAAAAAGAAAGAATAAAGGACTAACTGGTTAAAAGAGATTTCACACACACACACACACCTGAAATAAAAATTATGAAAGAAAGAAATAATAAAAAACAAACTTTTTCAAAAATTAAAAATTGAAGTAGAAAAAAAAGTTCTATGATTTTTTTTTTGGTGGAGGGGGAGATCTTTTATTTCCCCTCTGTCTGTAACCAGTCTCTGGTCTGCTTGTGGTGTTTGGTTTTCCTGTGGCTTGATTGGTTTCTTATGTTTGTTAGAGCAAGCAGAAAGAAGGTGTGCCTCCCCCAGGACTTTGTAATCCTCCTCCCAGTCTAGTTCAGTGGAAGGGAATTCTATTTTGTGTATCACAAAAGCTGGAGATGTCTGTTTCCTCTAAGTTGGAGTTGCTGTGCTGAGGCTAGGTTCTGGGTAGAGTTGAGGACTATCAGCAATCAGTAGCTTTTCCCTGAGGGGCTAATTCCTAAGACACACATAGAGCCCTGCCTGGAGCCATTCTCAAGTTTTATGTTTACTGAGTTTCAATTCTTTGTGTTTTACCCCTTCTGCTGCCTAGGCTGCAGTGGAGAGGGGCAGCCTCTGCCTCTGCTTACCCAGTGAAGAAAGTCACTGCTCCCAAAGTTGAGCTTCCCCTCTCTGAGTAGAGCTGAACCTGGCAAGTCAGGTCAGGTTCCTGTGACCTGTTGAATGGCTCCTATGGTTTTCTTTCAAGGCCTGAGTGGGAGCTAGCTGCTCTGGCAGGGCATTTGTCAGTAACAAAGATGGAGATGTTCTCCAGTGGTTGGGGAGGGCCTAACTTCCCACTGCAGCTCTATGAGAAGGGTTGAGGTTATCTTGCTTCTACTCATGCCAGACTCCATTCCTGGGCTGTCCCTGGTCTGTGAATAGCAGGATGAAAATTTCTGCTTCTTGTCAGTTCTTCATGCTGGTGAATAGAATCTGCTCACACACCGTGTCTGGCGCCTTTGTCCTGGATCGTCTCTGTTGATATGGTGGCCGGGGTAACTGCCTCCAGCATTGCTACCTCCACCCCGCTGTGACTACTGGCAAGTGCTCAGATCTGTCTTCTTGACCACGCTGCCTGGATTTTTCCTGTCTGACCAAACTCTCTGTACTGTGATGCCACATTTGATATGATTCTCTAGCCTAGGACTGTTCACTGGAACACTAAAACTGCTTTCTATGAAAGATGTTATTTAGCTTCCAGTTTCTCCTCAGCCATCTTCCTCCAGAGTTATATTTTAGATTTATACTATTGAAATTTTGAGAGCTTATATCACACAAAGTGAGGATGAGGACAGAAGACATAGCACTTCCTTATCACAGATGCTGTGTTCTTCAAGTCACGTCATGGAGAGCATGACAGGGCAAGTGTACCTTGTATTTTCACTAAAGGAGGCAGACTACCTAATTCCATCTGCTATGAAAGATTCTAGAAAGTCACTATGCCTGGAACATATCACCTAACATAAAAGTCATTACTTGTGAGGACAGAAATGCCCTTGGTTGCTCATGGTGTGCTGGTGGCTCTTCCATGTGATGAAGAAGCACCTCGTGGAGGGCTTGGGCCACGGCATACATGGTGGTGTAGATATTGTAACTTTCTTGTGACACGGCCATATCAAAAGTGTGTCCCTGCACCAAGCCACAGTGGCATTGGATGAAGACTACCCCAATTTTCTATAATCAGACTTATTCACTGAACAGCCCAAATCCATAACCTAGGAACTGAAATATCTCATGAGTCCTTGGAATCGTTATCTCTTGGGACACAATTGGTGAACCCAGAAATGTCTTTATGGTGGTGAGAGAAGATGAGAGGTGCATGGAAGGAGTCTAGCAAGAAGTATTTTTTGCTAAGGGTCATGTCATCATAGGGTGAGTTCATCACCCAGACTTTCTCTGTATTTAAAAAATTCCCAATTTAAAAATAAAGCTTAGTAGCAATTCAATTTCTCCATAAATGATTATCACATTGGTTGAGGATTCCATGATCTGGCGACACCTTGGTTGATCAGTTGGTAAATCTGATGGGCTGTTTGTCAGGATCATATTCTCAAAGGCAAGACAGACTCCATTCTATTGCATCTCCTCTCTCAATTCTGAGAAGAACCACACACCATAGTTGTCTTTGGTTATGAGCAGTCCCACCCAGGTCCAGCCAAATGGAAGCATCAAGGAGATCATGGCCAGGGCTAGAGCTGAGTCCTTGGCAGCTATCTGATTGACAGCACTGAACTGTCCATGGTCACTCAGGAGAGGATCAAAAGACCAATAGGTTAACTAAAGGGGGAAAAATAATCACAACAGCAGGAAGAGGATGGTCATTGTCAGGGTCACAGTCCTGATGAGCAGCTAACAACCGCTTGCAGTTGTGGGAGTGAATTTTTCCTTTTCCCATGTGTTTTTTTTGTCAGTTGTGGGGCTTGAACTCTGGGCCTTGGCACTGTCCCTCAGCACTTAAGCTCAAGGCAAGTGCTCTACCACTTGAGCTACAGCACCATGTCCAGTTTTCTAGTAGTTTCTTGGAGATAGAATTCTCATGGCCTTTCCTGCCCTGGCTGGCTTTGAACTGTGATCCTCAGATCTCAGCCTCCTGAGTGGCTATGATTACAGGCATGAGCCACCAGTGCCTGGCTTGCTTATCCCACTTGTAATATGATCTCTCATGCTCCAAGATTTTTGTAGAATTGTATGGATCAGGATCAGAGCCGGGGCTCATTCTTTGCCCTCTTATAAACTCTCTTTTGATCTCTTCCAACAAAGATAATGTGGATGCCCTACCAAATGTGGGGATTTTTTCCTTTGAGAACAATCAGTATGTGAGGCTCATAATACCACCTCTTTTCTCCACTTCTTCAACCTATTGAGGACAGGTTCAAGGTGGACTTAGCTTCACATCTGCCCTCCCCTTCCAAACTCACCTGTGGAAGTTTGTAGAGGTCCAGAAGTGTCAAGATTGGGACAGATGTGCTTGAAGTTCCTGTGAGTACTGCTAAAACTTTGCTGTCTCTCCTGCAGGTGCAATTAGGGGTGTTCTTATTTTTCCCAGACAGCAAGGTCAGTGGATTCTCTAACACATCAGTTTCTACATAATGTGAAATATAGATCTGAAACCTAGGGTCATGTTGGGTAGCAGATGGGGATTGTGTTGATTTCCCCAACTGCGAGGGTCAGGGACAGAACTAATTGGCATTTCCTTAGTTGAACCTGCACAAAGGTCACAGAGATTCAGGTATGTAAACATGTATTAAAAAGGATTAAGTTGAAATCTCAATACTTTGTTGAACTGAATGGCTTTCTGTACACACAGTAATATGTTTGGACTCTGTCTTCAAAGAGGATGGAATTAGAATTTGGATCGTTAGGAAGATAATAAGAATTGGGAGAGTTCCTGAACCAGGATTTGATCAATGAACACTAGATTGCTGTTCTGAGATAGAGAGGGAGTGAGCTGGCTTTTCCTGTCTGTCATTTGTGGATACATGAGAAGCACTAATATCTGGGCCATAGAGCTTGTCTAGTTCCCTCACCAAGTCATTGAGTACCTTGAAGTAGGTCTGTGTATGGAATATATGAAGATTAGGTCTGTATCTGAAGTAAATGAAGTAATGTTTGAGATCCTAGTTGGCAAAAACAGCAATTAGAGCTGGGTGCCAGTGGCTCATGCCTGTAATTCTAGATTCTCAGGTGGCTGCGATCTAAGGATCAAGGTTCAAAGTCAGCTGGAGCAGAAAAACCTACAAGACTCTAATCTCCAATAAACCATTAGAGAACCGGAAGTGGTGCTGTGGGTCAAGTGGTAAAATGCTTGAGTTGAGTTGAAGAGTACAGGGACAGTGCTCCGGACCAGAGTTTAAGCTCCACTACCGACAATAATAATAATAATATCATCATCATTATCATCATCACCAATAAGGACATTATGTGAGGAAAAAGACAGTCTCCTGGAACAAAAAGTCTGTCCTGGTGGGGAGGGATCCTGGGGATGAGTGATCATCCCGATGCGAGTGGAAGCTGCATCCATAAGAGGGATGGTGTCAGATCCTAAAGGGAGTCACTTTGTGTTTGTCCTTGCAAAACTAAGCACAGCTGGGAGGTCAAAAGAAAATAGTTGAAAAGTATGTCTATTTGATGCCCATATCTGCTTTCCTTCTAACTGGGCAGGAATTTATGTGTATTACCTATTATTTTTATGTAAGGTAAGTTTTTGTTTTTAAGGCTATGGTTGTGAAATTGGGGATAGCTTAAAATTATCCAAAAGGGCAGCATCTACTCTCTGCTCAAGGCTATGATTGGAAGTAAATTTTTGATATGGAAGCAGATACATATATTCAGCTAGTCTGATGAAGAGAGTAAGGCTGGAGTGTTAGTAAATCAAAAGCCTCTTCTCAAAAGCCCCAAATAGGACATCTGGCCATTTGGCTCTAATAGAGCTCACACAGAGATATAAAGCAGTATTCATATACATTCTAAATATTCTTTCTTGGTATTGTAAAACCCCAATTAATCATGTCCCCATTGAAAGATGTCTGGGAAGCTTCACAGAAAGCTGATATGCAGTGTAATGGTCACCACAGTTTAGGTTCTCCAGTTAACCAGGGAAATGCTTTTGCACACCAGAGTGCTAAGCAGGCTGTAGCGCTCTGCTGTAGGAAAATGGCTTGACTACCAGCACACCTATGTTTATAGAAGCATTATTCACCACAGCTAAGATATGGAACCTATCCAGATGCCCCTCAGTAGATGAATGGATCAAGAAAATGTGACACACACACACACACACACACACACACACACACACACACACACACACACACACACACTGGAATTCTATGCCTCAATCAGGAAGAATGACACTGCTAGAAAATGGAAAGACTTGGAAAAAATCATATTAAGTAAAGTATGCCAGACCCTAAGAAATATAGGTCCCATGGTTTCCCTTAATTGTAATTTTGGTATATATCCAGGATAATCTTATCAGATGATCTGAAAAGCTCAAAAGTTATGGACATATGACCATATAAAATGATGCTCAGCAAAATGAACCCCAAGGTACAGATACACGAGGTACAGATACACGAGGTTTTTCTTTGTTGTTGTTTTTAATTTACTATGTGACTTTTTGTTTCTTATGTATGTTCTTTCTCCTATGGCATATCTCTGTTGTCACTTTATTTGATTTAGGTACCTTGAATCTTGTATATACCTTTATCTAATTTGGGGATGGGAAGTGGGAATAACAAAATTCTGAAAGAAGGACACAGGATGACCCATTGGAACAATGATATTCACAAGAAACTATGTTGGAAATGTACTCTATGTATTTGGGGAAGAGAGGAGTGAGGGAGGTGGGAGAGGGAAGGGATGGTAGGAGAAAAAGGAGGGGTAACAATGTTGAACTAGAAATGTACTCATTACCTTACTGATGTCACTGTAACCCCTCTGTACTGCATCTTTACAATAAAATAAAAAGTTTTAAGAAGAACCCCCACCCAAAAATGGCTTGTATCCCTTCTATGCTCAAATTTCTTCAGATCAACTTTTATCTAAATGGAAGTGACCCTGTTCAGTTCTTCTCAGTATTCCCACAGCTGTGCAATTGTCTGTTGTTACCTCTTGGATACACATTTCTAGAATAAAAACTTTCTAACTTTATCCCAAATCTCAGGTTTCAGATTCATGTAGACACGAGGTCTCACAGGACTTCTCTACCTGTAAACCTCTAAAAGACTTGAGATTCCTCTTCAAGATTAATAAAAGGAGAGTTAACCACATTGCCTGAATGGTGTGATCAAGTTTCCAATTTTAAATTTCTGTTGACTCAAATATAAATAGCATTCTTTAGTCTCAGAACAATTGTTAAAGCTCCTTCATTAAGCTTAGGATGTATAAGGAGTCACCTTTTCTAATGACTATTTCCTGGCCTGAATTGGAAAGTAACCCATTTTGACAGTGGGCCCAATTTTATACTAGGGAGGTTATTTCTGGCTAACTTCCACTCTTGGGCAATTGAGCTCAAAGACTTCTCTCTTCTGGAAATAGCACTCTCATACTTATAGTCAATGGGATGGGAAAAACTCTCCTGCAGAAGAGGAAGACTTTAGCTGTCATTCCTGCAGCCCAAGGAGGAACCTGCAGAACTGTAAAGGTTAAATGCTGTGTGTATATTCCAGACAACTCAAATATCTCCCCAGCCCCTCTGGTTCTACACACTCAAATTGATACTAAGTCTGACTCTGCTCTTAGTTTTAACAAATACTTTGCTTAATGGTTCTCTGGAATGACTTGTGGGGAAATTTGTTATTTATCTTTATGATATTAATAGGTAGGGGTGTATTGATCTACTGCACCTTATATAGCTTCTGAGGATTATTATGCTTCAGAATTTCTTGTTTGACTTCCTTACCAGTGTTTCGATAAAGAATGCTCCTAATGTTGTCCCAAACTGACAATTCAACAACAGAACTTCCCATGTCACCCATTGGTAAGATAGGACAAGACTTGAAATGTCAATGTCTCTGCTCAGCCTAATGCAGTGACAGAAACAGATCTTCACCAATCATTGTCCTTTAAGATTGAGGGACTATAGTGATTTGAGGGGAGTGACGCAGCATAAACTCGGAAAACTGTGGCAGGGTAAATAATTGACAGTAACTAAAAAAGCTAGTAGCTAGTACAGAAGATTTTTACCCATCTACATCTTTTATGATTAAGGGATCAAAGTCATTTCAGGGGAAAGTGAAAGACAATCCAGGGAAACTGAGGCATGGAAAATGGTTACCAGACATGACAAAAAAACCCTCAAGTTTAAAGCTTATCCATCCACTTCCCTTAATCTTAAGTTAAGAAAGTCATTTTAGGGGAAAATGAGGCAGGGGAAATTGAGGAAACATGGTACATAGAAATACGGAAGCACTATCTTTGCTTCAAAGAGAGACAACAGGATGCATTCCCTCCTGTGAGGTGCATATCTTTCCCCAAGAATTAATATTTGTCTGGCTGGAAATATATCTTCCTGTGAAAATTCTCCCCCAAAACTTAAGCAACATGACTCTTTTCTTTCTTTTTTCATTTTAATGGCTTCCTTTCTTTTTCTTTCCTTTCTTTTTGGTGAAAATATCATATAGAGGGGTTACAATTACATAGGTAAGATAATGAGTCCATTTCGTATCAAGAATTGTAGACTTCTCCTTTGCTTTGGTTTCCCTTATTTCTAATAACCAGTATATGTCTGAGACAAGCAGAAAAGTTCAGATAAGTTGATGTTAGGTGAAATGAACCCAATCCTCTTCTCCCCGAAGTTCCCTTCTAGAAGTAAATCCCCTTAGTTTGGGACATTTCAAGAACCTCCTCCCCATTCCCTCCCACAATGACCAAGTACTTATTTCCCTTAAAGCTTCTCACATACCTTTTTTAACTCCAAATGAATATCTGCTCTTTCCTGCTACATGCTGATGGCTAAAGCCCATTATCCTTCAGCTTCTTTCTGCCTCTCTCCTGATTCCCATTCACTCTCCCACAAACCCCCATTTTAGAAATAAAAAACACCCTAATGGCTCTTACCGCTTGCTTCAGGACCCTGAAAAATTAATCAGAGTCATCTCATCTGTTCTCATTTATCCAACCCTTGTGTCCCACGTCTTCTCTAACTCCCCAGTCTTTTCAGATTTTAATTTTAATGACACCTTCTTTATTATCCCCTTACACATCACTTCAAGGCCCATCTTTGCCTTCACGTAGGAAAGACCCAGATACTCTCCGGGCTCAGCAAATAACCCAGACAGTATGCCTCAAGGATTTAGAGACCCCCGCCATTATTTTGACCAAACCCTACAATAGGACTTGACCAATCACAACCTGTCCCCTAGTTTTCTTCTTCAATATGACCTCCTTCTCTTCAGCCTTTTAGCTGATCCAAACATCAAACAACCTGATCAGTAGTTGTTCAAAGGGTCTATATCCTCAGAATCCTCACCTAAGTGTACCATTTTTAGTTAATCATTTGTATGTTTATAGTTTAAACTTAAATTCCTAAAACTAGGAAAATCTGCCGTACTGTTACATATATAACACATATTGTTTGTACTAAATATGCAAAGATACAAAATCTCTACTTCAATTCAATTATTCTTCAATTTGTTCTCATTTCATTCTCCCCTCCAGCATTACAGTGTTAAATCAGTCTTTCTAAAGCATTGCTTTCAGTTTTGTTATCACCTGATTTTAAAAAGGTAATGATTTTCTACCACCTGAACTTTTCTTTCTTCAGATCTACAGCTTTACCTCCAGCTTTTTCCTTGCTGTGGTTTGAATGTGTCTTCTCCAATATGACAGTATTAAGAGGTGAGGCGTTTCCAATTTGATTAGGAAATGGAGGGACAAATAGTGAACAAATGCAGCAGTTGTGGCAGAGGAATTATATAACTTGTGTGTGGGAAAAGAGGGAGAATCTGGGAAAGAGCAAGGAAAGAGGTGACATTGTCCAAAAAGAAATGTATTTTTACCTGACTTATGTAACTGTAATCCCCCCATATATCCCCTTTATAATAACCATAAACATTTTTAAGTTGACAAAAAGTAATAAATACCTTTAAAGAATTAGTAAAAAAGTAAATACCAAGCATTCCACTGACCTTCTTAACCCTCTTGCTTCTTGGGGCTACAGAGCCTTGAAAGACTCGGCTCAGTTGTGCCAGATGTTAGTCACACCTAGGGGTCATTATTTCTTATCAGGGATGAGCTATACCTCCCTTCAGAATTCAGAACCTCCTCAATTACCACATGTCTCTGTCCAACTAAGAGCAACTGGTCCTTCTTGGCCTTCTTTAACTTCTTTCACCTCTGGATTCCCATTTTTTCCATTATATATTTTCCCTTGCACTCTGTCACTAAACGGGCCCTTTGCATTCAGCATGATTGCCAGTAGAGTTTCTAGAGTATTTTGAGAACTATCCTCTAGGTTTTTCATTGACTGCTCTGTTGCCAATTCCAAGTGGGATAGAACAAGCCATAGAAACACAAGATAAATGGCAAGTGAAGGATCCTCAACTCCAAATAAGCAAGCAACAGATTCTGATTTCTTCAAGGAGCTTTCTTAATGGTTGAATTGTTCCTTCTCTTGTACTATTTAAAGAACATGGCCAGATATTGAGTCCGAACATGATCTAATGTATTTTTCCCCTATTTTGGGTTCCTTTTCTTTTCGCTATCTATTAGTATTGAGGATCCTTAGAGACTGAGGTGACTAGGCTCAGCTCAGACCATCATGCACTCTGTACCTTCAACTTCCCATGAGGAATAATGATCAATAATCAAACTATTCCTCCAATGGTTCATCTTAAGTCACGTTGATGCCCTGGCCCTTTTTGCCAGAAAAAAGTACTCATAGAGACTCCCATGGGAAACTAGTGCTGCTTAATACCCTGATCTAAATTTCTGAAGTAGGTGAAAGAGAGTGAAAGGGAGAGAGAGACAGAGAGACAGAGATTGAGAGCCAGAGCCAGAGACAGATGTATGGAGGAGGAGAGGGGGAGAGAGAAAGGTACGGAGAGGCGAAGGAGAGAAGAGAGGTATTTCCTAGAAAATACACTCAGTAATATTGCAGAACAGTAAATATTTGAACAGAAATACACAACAAGCTCAGAAAATATACACAAGTAACTGTAATCAAAGCATGGAAACTTTCACTAAAATGAATGTTCATATATCAGTGAACTGAGCAATATAATGATATTCAAGCAGTGTTGTAGCCTGCATATAGGGCAAAGAAGAATCACAGTAGACTTGTAATCAAAAGGACGATTGATAGCATAAGAGGAAGATTACATTGGAGGAACAAGGGATATCCAGGAGGAAATACAAATTTAGACAGTCTAGTTGGAATCTTGCTCTAACTCTAACACAACCCGCAAAATGAATGAATTAAATGTTTCTTAACTGCCCAAATATTATCGATTTGTCTCGGAATCTCCAAGAATTCTAGACAAAATTTATGTCCATCTTAAGATTTATTTCTTTCAGTTGGTCTCTCCCTAAACCTGTGCAGTGAATTTCTCTCAGGTCTTATCAAG